CTCGTTATTTATTACAAAGTAAAAAATTGCCATCAATTGTTCTTTCTTTTTCAAATTAAATGAAAAATCATAAGTCTGCTCTTTGTCGAAAACCAATCTAAAAAATTTCAATTCAGAGACGAATGATCAAACTCTGATTAAATTCAAAATTTTATTAATTATTTAAAGTGGTACAATACATGGTCTATTGCGCGATATATTATAATTCTCTCACAGATAACTGCTTTTGTTCGAATATTAACGACAAAAGTTCCGCCGATTCGTTTATTATTCGACGTTACCGTAAAAAAATCAAATCTGATACGCACACCAGAGATAAAACTGTTAAAAGTTGAAAATTCGCGACCACGAACAAAGAGCACTCGTAACAATTTGTTAGCAAAAAAATTCGCTCGCTACCGTACGGAATTTCCACGAAATTCGATCGACGTTTCGGAAAGTTGCTATTCGCGTGACCGAGAATGAAATTTCGTTTCGCGTCGACTGCGACGTCGAAACCTGTCCATGGAATTTCGATGCGCGCGAAAAATAATTTCCCCGTGCGGTTATCGAATGATTTCTACGTAGAAAAAAGTATGAAAACTATTTTTCGAAACATGCTCTTCGATAGATGCTTTCAAAAAACAGATACTATGAAAAGGTAAAAAATAAGATTTTGGAAATATGAATTTTAACAAGGTTATTTTCATGAAAATTTGAAAGAGAAATATATTCTCATATTGTATGTAGTGGGAATTTTGGGAATGTGCAAATTTAGAAATGTAGAACTTGGGAATGTTCTACATTTGATTTGGGAATGTGAAACTTGGGAATTTGGGAGCTTGGGAATGGGGAGACTTGGGAATATGGGGACTTGTTAATATGGAGACTTGGGAATGTGAAAACTTTGATAAGTGGAGTATTGAGAAACATGTAAACTTGGTAATACGACGCTTCAGAAATATAAAAATTTCCAAATATAGAAATTTGAGAATTAAACAATTTTTAAAATTTCAAATTCGTACATATAACTTCTCAAAATCCCCTACGTTCGTCTCTCTTCAAAAAGAAGCCCATCACAATCGCCCTCAAATGTCATTTGACAATGAAAAAGTGAAATCGTTACGAATTAAAGAGAAGAGACCATGGAACAAGGTAACAGCAAGGGCGACGTTAATCATCCTGATCTGTCGCGGAATTAATGCGTGTTCTCCGGAGTGTTATCAGCCCGGAAGCTATTAACCTGGTAAAACTTACTTTTCCTAAAACTGGGTTAATCATCTGTTCCGTTTCACCGGGCTGAATTAACCGATCCCGCGTCCTAAATTCCTGAATACGAACGGCGAAACGGACGAGTGTTATCCCCCTTGTACCCGTGGGGCAGCCTCTAATTAGACGTTAATTGGCCAACCGAATGGATTTTCCGATTTTATCGATCGTTAAAACAATTTCACCTACGGTTTCTACAAATAGAACGAAACTACGCGACCGTGAGTCGCTGCCGAACGAATTTCGACCGATGATTATCGTTTTATCGCCTCGTTCGCAGTCTCTGTTTCTCTCGTGTATTCTAGCATTCGCTCGGAACAACATCATTGCAAACTGCTTTCGGCTGAATTTACTTTCCAGTTTCCCACGTTCATGAAACGCACGTGTTACGTTCTAGATCCGAGAGAATTTGCGGTTATGGCCATGAAAGGATTCGCTCAAATATTATTACGAAATCGTGCGAGGGGCAACGTTTGTTTCTTATCGTCGAACACGTATAATTACTCCTGCTTATATATAACTTTCCCTTATCGCGCTTAGCTTCGTTCAATAAAAATAATAATTGTAAATTTAGTATTGATCATGGGTTAATTTTGCGCCACATATTCTGTGATTAATATTTCGTATATTCAGATGACAATTTTATTAGTTTGTGGATTTGAGGATTTGATAATTTGATAATGTAGGTATTTCGAGACTTAAGCATTTAGGGATTTGATAATTTACTAATTTAACAGTTTGAGTATTTTAAGACTTGAGCTTAGGGATTTGAGGATTTTGATAATTTATAAGTTTAGAAATTTCAACGCTTAAACATTTATGGACTTAACCCTTTGCGCTCAGGAGTGTTTCTCAGGCGTCACTCGATTTAATACAATAATTTGAAATAAGCATTATTTAACTAATTCTATAATAGTGCGCGTGGTATAAACATAGAGAAACAAACAATAGTGGAAATTATTAATAGAGAAATAATAACCTCAAGGGAATTCGTTTCATTTTTTAATTAAGTTTTAAAGTTGCTGTTTGCAAACAGTCAAATTACGTTCCAGCACAAAGGGTTAAGAATATTGAATTTTTCACTCCTACTTTTGACATCACCGAGACATCAATAAATCATGTTATCAGCGCGTGATGCGATCAGCGTAAGTATCGCGTGTAGTGTATATCAGTGCTCTTAAAAGCTCGACAGCGTGATGTTCTCCTAGCAATAAAAGTTGAACAGACTGCACGAAAAGCTCCGGCAATAATAGAGAGCGTTAAGCGACGCGTTAAATATAATCCACGCAATGAAAGGGTTAAAAGAGAATCGCGTATGTTGATAGAGTGCGCGTACGAGCGGCGTTGTTGCTCAAAGGGTTAAAGATGGTGAAAAATGTCTGTCGCGTGATGATGGTCGATCAAAAGCATCGCGGTTTATGAACGAACGGAAACGAAGTCGTTTATCATGTTCCTCGTTGAACGTGACACACGGCGCGGCGGTCGTCGCTGATAACGCGAGACCGCGATAAAGCGACACGAAACGCACTACGATTTCCTTGTCACATCGCCGATGGATCGTAGGACTCTCGGGAGGTGTTAATTAGCGCTAATTAATTCGCGAAGAATGCTAATCACCGCTAATTGATTCTATGCTAATTAAGCGTTTTGCCGACGATAAGCTTCGCGGCGGTCGCCGGATGCCGAGAGCGTTGCGATGACGGCGGACGATCGATGGATCGACGGGAAATGCGGCGGATGTTGGCGAAAAATCGAGATACTGTTACCGTGACGACGCGTTCTTCAACTCTGACCCTTTCCCTCGGACACGTGCTGTTCTGCCTTTGTGTAAAATGTGATACCTGCTTTTGATCGAAGTTTCTACGGTGTTTCTATGGATATGCGGTAGGCTCGCGTATAACGCGGTTAATACATTAGGAATTGTGCGAAGTCGCATTATTTCTGATCTTTAATTAAATTGAAATGGATTATTGAGGATGATCATTTATGAGGATAGTATTGTTAATAGATGCATTTATTCTCAATACTCCTAGACGTTAAAACTTAAAAACTCTCTATATTCCAGCATACCTAGATCCTGATATATGTATTTTCCTCTGAATATCCCTATATACAAATTTATCATTATCCCTAAATTCCAGTGATTCTTAGACCAAGACATTATACCAACATTTCAATATTTCTAACTTTGAATATTTACAGATCCCAGTGTCCCTAAATCCGAATATCCCTAGGTTTCAGTATCTTTAGAACTCAACACCTTGTTATTCCCAAACTCCAATATACACCTATGCATCTATATTCTAATATTCCTAGATTTCAGTATTTTCCAATATCTCCCAATCTAAATATCCTTAGTTACAACTTCTCAATATTTCTAGACCTCGATATTCTTGTATCTCTGCAATCTCTACAATTTCTCTATACAATATATGCACGTTTCTAGTTATCTCCAGCGAAAAATAATTACAGCGACCAAAGTTATTTGACCACCTAGCGAGTATGTTAATTACACTGCAGTTAAGTAACTTCCGTAAAGAATCCACTAGAGCCACGATGAAATGTCTTCCTACTTTCTTTTTCTCCACTCTCCTCGACGTAACGAACGTAATAAAATAATAGGCGGCTGGTATCGCGTAACACCGCTTCGTGATAGCCGAGAGCAGCGATACGAGTATAAGAGACCGGGGCTACTAAAAGTGGACGCACGAGCAGTGGCGGCTCGTAGCTAAAATTAGTGGGGGTTGCTGCTCCAGGAAATTTTCAGACTTTGTTTTAACATTATGCTCGAGGAAACAAACGTTCGTACGTGTCTTTACTGTATGAAGAGAGAATTAGGGAATGTTATATTGACTCGTTATATTGTAAGAGCGAATAAACAATTAATAGCGATGATGACCAGATTCGCTTTAGGCTCATCTTAAATTTATTACAAATACATTCTAAGTTATTAGAGATTGACGTGAAAGTAGATTTGTTCGATTTAAATTTCCCGCTCTGTACAACCAATTTAAAGGCACAGTTTTCGAGAGATCAAAGGCGTCGACAAAGAGTGTCGTCTCTGGTTTACTTTGTGGTACAGGCGAGACTGTTTTTCCCGAAAATGTAAAGTGGTTTTTAATAAAACCTTCGACAAAGCTTGAAGACGATGCATTTTAGTCTTGTTAGAGAACGTGAAGATGAAAATATTTGTTAATAAAATCGATAATAATATTTATTAAACCGTTCCGAGTGAAATATAGCCATCCTTGCAATATTAAATTTTATCGACACTGTCGAGCGAAAATATGGGGTGCAGCCTCACGCGAGCCGTCACTGCACCCGAGAGCACAAGGTTCAAAATACTTGGCGAACGTTTACGGCACCGGGGACACTGTAAACGTAGGCAGCCGTTATAATTTGACCGTGGTCCCAGCAATAATGCCACCAATTTGCTCGATGTTAACAGGCCGCAATTTTAACGTCCTTGTTAAATTGTGCCAGTGAACCGTTTTCGTAGCCCGTCGCGCGTGAAAGTCGTGAAATAATCCGCTCTGCGTCCGAGAACGCTCCACGACATCGCGGTTCGTTAATTGAAACAGGAGAGATTAATTTCTCGATGAAACGGACTGTTTAATGTTCTTGTAAAGATTAATTTCCTTTGCGAATTCGTCTTTCTTTTTTAATCGAGATGTGATCGGTGCACATTTTCTCTCGCGATTAATTCGTGAAATACTACTAAATATTATAGCAATTTTTCTTTATTGTTACAGGGATAAAATAGGTGAGAAATTTTCTGCTACCAGAACCATCTGGAACGTGTAACTTTAAATTGACGGAAAAATAAACCGGCCGCTGTTGAAACACTCCTCTGACGAAAGTAAGTGTTCCTTTATAAACATTCTTGACATCTCTGCCAGAGTTTGATATTCTTGCAATTACTTTTTATCGCGCGATTATTCACCGTCTATTTTTTCGCGTATATGAATTTTATGTTCGAGAAGAATCGTATAGTCAGTTGTATGATGTATTTGCAACACTTGAACGATTAAATGTGCAATAACATTGCGATGTATGTACCCGAAATATCGGGCCGTAATTATTTGGCTGCGAATGGTTACGCATGTATGGTTTATCAAAATCTGCAAAGTAAACATAAATTAATTAACGTCCGATTCATGGAAAATCACAGATTACATGACGATTGAATTTTGCAGGATAAATGCATACACATCCTGCTAATTATAATACGCGGTTTGTTTGAAACGAGAATTCAAATAAAATACGTGGCATGCATAACGTTGGATCTCGTAAGCTGTTATATTCGCGGAGGGTTAAAAAAGATCTTCGCAACGCGTCGGGCGGACGTTAACGTTTCAGGACCGGACGTTAAAAAACAAAATGATCCATGGAGCATGTGGTGGTCGGATGTTATGTCATCGAGGCCAAAGATACGCGTTCTGGTAGTCGACGTTGACTTTCGTTTTATTCTGATTCTCTCCCGTTTCTCGAGCATCGCTCGCGAAAATAAATCGACCACGAACGTCCGCGAAAACTTTCCTCAAGCACTTTATAAAGCTCCTCGTGACGGTGTAAATATAATGTTTATTTCCGTGAGACACGCCATCCTTTACGCGACCCTCGCTTCTAATTGTTTCGCGTGATTTTGTGATATATCGACGATTACGGCGATATACATAGATCTTTTCAACGTTTATGCAAAGTGAAGGAAATGGTGCGATTTTTGTGTACGTTTTTAAAGTGATAGATTTTTATGAGGTTTGGGTGTAGAGAAGTTTTGGGGATTTAGGGATTTTAGGATCTAGGGATTTTGGGATCTTGGGATCTTGGGATTTTTAGGGTCTAGGTATTTCGGAATCTAGGGATATTGGGAGCTTGGAATATAGGGATTTTGGGATCAAGGGATATTGGAATCTAGGGATTTTGGGATCAAGGGATATTGGAATCTAGGGATTTTGGGATCAAGAGATATTGGAATCTAGGGATTTTGGGATCTAGGGACTTTAGGATTGTTGGAATTTACAGATATTGGAATCTAGAGATTTTGGGATCTTGGAACATAGGGATTTTGGAATCTAGGGATTTTGGGATCAAGGGATATTGGAGTCTAGGGATTTTGGGATGTTGGGATCTATGGATTTTGGGATTTTTGGGATCTAGGGATGTTGGGATTTAGGGATTTTAGAATCTAAGGGGTTGTGGGATATAGGGATTCGAGAATTTCAAAATTTATGCTTTCAATAATTACTAGAGACGGAGACTTGAAAATTTGGAATTTGTGGATTTTGGGGAATCTAGGGATTTAGTGATTTTGACATTTCCCGATTTATGAATTTGGAAGTTTGAAAATTTGAGATTCGGGATATGGAACTCTAGGGATTTTTGAATCTAAGGACTTTTGGTGCAGGGGTCTAATGTCTTTAATGCAGAGATTTAAGGTTCTGTGAATTTTACAGTTTGTGACTTTTGAAATATTGGCCTTTGAGATTTGGAATCTAGAGATTTGTTATCTAGGGAATTTTGAATTCATAGAAATTTGAAGAAATTTGGGAAGTTCAAAATTCTGTGCATTTAAAAATATAAAAATTGAGATACAGACATTTTGAATTCAGTGATTTGGGGCTTAGAAACCTAGGTATATTACAATATCATAATTTATGCTGTTTAAAAATGCAGAGAAGTTGGATTTGATATTTGGTGATTTTTGATTTATGTATTCTACATTTAAAAATTTGAAAAATTGAAATTTTGTGATTTAAGTTATTTGGCAATTTGAAGTCTGATAGTTCCGATACCGTCCAATATGATTAAGCTATTCTACACTTTATCCAACGATGCATGGATACGACCAGTTTATATCCGTATAAGCAAGTCTATCCACCCTTATCCTTATCTGCTCCCTCCAATGCGTAGCATATTAAATTATTATAGCTTCGCTACCATATACCTAAGTCACCGTGAGAATCTATCCAGTCGGATATACATATCCAATCGAAAATTCTGATAATCCAAATGGACTTCTCCAATTTCCACAACTCGACTTTACGTTCTCGTATTCGCGGAGAAAACGTAGAGCCGGCATACACATTGGATAGCTAGCGAACGCATCGAGCTTTCTACAAAATTTTATTACGCGACGCTCGAGCTCGTTCGCACCTGCTGTCCCGAACGTAAACCTTTCCTTGTAATCTCTCATTTCCCTCGTTCGGCGGAGGAAGGGAATTGGTAACCTCGTAGAAAAAGTGGCGAGTAAAGGAACGGACGGAATAAAGAAACAGGCGAAGCGCGAGAGACGACCAAGACGAACGAGCCAGGGAACGTGTCACCGGCAGATGTTAACGATAAGATTTATGAATTTTTCAAGCTCGACCTACGCCGAACACCGGAACTCGTCTAGCAAAGTGCAACTTTCGTTCGGTGACTCGTGTAACAACGCGATATACCGCCAACTTTTATGGATGAATTTCTTTTAGACCCCGATGAAAGTTATCGTTTCAAAAGTTACGGTTCACCGACTCCATTTTGCTTTATTGGATATTTCATTGAACTTCGCCGGGGTTTCTTTGTGGTCGAAGTCCTCTCGGCGATGTGTACATATTTCTAAATAATTGAACAGAGTGTGACAATGCTTTTATTAAATTCAATCTTATTAGATAACGACAGTCCTTAGAAAATTCAGCTCTAAAAACAGGGCCTCTTTGAAGCTCTTATCTTTTCAACTCTGGTCAAAGATATTCTCAACAATTTCAGAGACAAAGACATTTTGTATAACAATTTCCAGTCGCCTTATATCAGATAATCGTTTCAGAAACATGCAACAAAATCTACACGAGTACCGTAAATACGATAGCAGCGTAATCGTATGGAAAATTGTATGACCGAAAGGAAGAGTAAATTGTTGCAGTAGCGGATCAATGAGAAAGTAATAGATCGATAACTAGTAAAATATTGATGTACATGGTAGCGGGATAATATGCGAGTGTAACGCGTCTGTTATAAGCAGTTTGCACTAGATACCGGTGAAAGCATTACGAACCAGTTGCTGCCGGTCATAATATGCTTTTATTTATTGGCAGTGTCTCATTCATGCGGAGGCGTACAATTGTACATGGAAACGGTCTGTCGAGGCTTGCACGATCGAGTAAATTTTTACCGGTTCGTAAATGTCTGAATAAAAGTGCGCGAAAGAAAAATATGTATTCGGGAACAGGTACTTTTATTCGTCCTACGAATATGAATATATCGAACAACAAGCAAATTTTATTTATTCGTTGTTCGCGAATAAAATTAATTGTACTCCGTTAGCAACCTTTCAATTTCTATGAAATTGAAATAAATTTGAAACCGGGAAATTTAAAGATATGGAAATTTCAGATGCATGGTATGCGCATGTTGTGCAGTGCGATATAATGCGTAACTGTATCACTCGTAGTGACATAATATGCGAGAACGTAGTCGTAGTGATGTAATATATTGCGATACTATGTGTTTTAATGAAACGCGTAGGTATATCACTCGGGTATACGGTACGTGGCGATATAACACGTTGGAATAAATATTCATGGTGAACTAAAGATATGGTGATGGAAGTATCGGGTGATATAGTATGTGGCAATATAACATGCGACAAGGGGAACCCATGGCGATATAACGCGAGGTGATTCAAACTCGTGGCGATATAACGCGAGGGGATTGAAACTTGAGGCGATATAACGCGAGGGGATTGAAACTTGTGGCGATATGATCCTCGGTGATATAACGCATGGAGATTGAAATTTATGGCGATATAACGCGAGGTGATTCAAACTCGTGGCGATGTAACGCGAGGGGATTGAAACTTGTGGCGAAATAACGCGAGGGGGTTGAAACTTGTGGCGATATGTCCCTCGGTGATATAACGCGTGGAGATTTAAATTTATGGCGATATAACGCGTGGAGATTGAAATTTATGGCGATATAACGCGAGGTGATTGAAACTCTTGGCGATATAACGCGAGGTGCTTGAAACTTGTGGCAATATAACGCGAGGGGATTGAAACTTGTGGCGATATGTCCCTCGGTGATATAACGCGTGGAGATTGAAATTTATGGCGATATAACGCGAGGTGATTCAAACTCGTGGCGATATAACGCGAGGTGATTGAAACTTGTGGCGATATAACGCGAGGGGATTGAAACTTGTGGCGATATGTCCCTCGGTGATATAACGCGTGGAGATTTAAATTTATGGCGATATAACGCGAGGTGATTGAAACTTGTGGCGATATGACCCTCGGTGATATAACGCGTGGAGATTGAAATTTATGGCGATATAACGCGAGGTGATTGAAACTCGTGGCGATATAACGCGAGGTGATTGAAACTTGCGACGATATAACCCTCAGTGATATAACGCGAGAAGATTGAAATTTGTGGTGATATAACGCGAGGTAATTAAAATTCGTGGTGATGTAACGCATGGTGATATGCAGCACGTGGCGATATAACGTATGCATTGATATCGCACGCGATATTAGAAACTCGTAAAGTTTTCTATTAACCGTAGAATTCCACTTACATATTCATGAATAATAAGTAGAACAAATTTATGCTGTAACCTTTTTATTCGCGATTGTAAACGATTGTTGGCGAACACCATGTTGCAATTTCGCGAGTAAAGTGCAGAAAATGTTGATAGTGGACGTATAAAAGAAGTACGTACATCGATGCATGCAGAGCCGAATGCAAAAAAGAGGCCATTTACTTGGCGGTAGAGGATGAGATAAAAACGGTCGTAACTCAAGCACAGCCGGTATTTTCGAGGCAAACATCCCTCTGAACGGTTATTTCGATTCTATGGGGTATAATATGTAAAGAGAG